TATAATTTTAAAATTCAATTTATTTATAAATTAAATATAATTTACCTTTGAAAATAATAATGCTGCATTTGATGATGGTTTATCTGAGTAAACTTCTTCCTCTTTATAAGTTTTTTTATCAACACATTCAATTTTATAAATTGGTTTATTATTAATATAATTAATAGAAGTGATAATTGTAATTTCTTTATTTGGCTTTCCCCAAGTAGTTTTAATTTTATAATCATCGGGTATTTTATATTGCTCGGGCTTGCAGTATATTTTAAAATTGATAATAATGGATAAATTCCTTCTTCAATAATATTATATACTAATGTGTATGTTTTTGCTTTACATTTAATTGTTTTATTTTGTGAATAATTGTGTTTATAATTATATATAGATTTGTTGCGACTTTGTGACATAACTATTGTATAAAGAATTGAACGATTGAAATAATGATAAAATTTAAATTGAAAATATATTTATATAACTCTACAATCAATAGTTTATCATAAAGTATATTTACATTACATAATTATTACGTAGTCAATTGATCTGACTGACTTATTATAACATACTAAATTTTGGGGTACAAACGAAATTAGCACATATGTTGTTCTGTATATCCAACCAATTAAATATGGGAAAGTATGGATTTAAATTAAAATTTTGTGTTCCAGTTAAGTTCAAATCCACCGATTCGCCCATATACTAATGTAAAAAACAGAGAGTAAAAGAAAAGAAATTATCAGTACTGCTGGTGAAAAAAAAGAAGCTCATCAAAATGTGGTTACCAACAATATATCTGATGAAATCGGGCATGATCTCAACTCTTCAAGCATTACGAATACATCTGATGAAATCAAATTTAACTCTGATCGTTCACGCACTTTAAGGAAAATGGTAAAAATGGTCTGATAACACTTGAGAACAAAAAGCTAAAGAAGAAACCGTTAGAAAACATTGAATTATAACACAAGCTTAATTCTTTATCATAAAAATTAATTATTTTTTTTTTTGTAATATATATTTATTAGACTTGTTTTTTATATGACGGTATATATAAATCGTAAATCAATGAACTTACCTCAGATAATATCAGATAATATTGAACAATCACTGATCAAATCAGCAGTAAAAAAAAGTATGATTTATGAAACGGATTTTTTATATACTCACAATTTCTCAATTTCCCAATTTCAAATTCTGCAAAAAAATTCATTCATTTTACGATATAATGTCAACTATTAATATTTGGTGCCTTGAACGTGGAAGTAGTTGCAGTTCAGCTTTTTATGTTACCGTTAGAAGTAATAGTAATATTTTCGATCTCAAGAAAGCCATTTTTAAGGAAATTAGTGCATCTTGTAATATAAAACCAAAAGACCTTAATTTATGGAAAGTTAACTACAACCAAAATATATCAGATCATGTTCCTTTTGATAGTATATTAAAGGATGAAATGAAAATAAAAAATCCATCAAGTTTGATTAGAGATATTTTTTGTGGTGCTGAAGGAAATAATATTCGAATCATTTTTGAAACACCTGCTACTAGTGGTAAGTATGTTATAATAAATTTATAAAACATATTTTAAACATCAATATAACTTAATTTTTATAGCCGTTATATGTGATAACATTCTGGCTGAAGGGCATTATCATTAATTGGGAGGATGGTACCGTGAGAAATTAATGCCGCGGAAAATACCTATATCGATATTTGATTGAAATAACATCGACTAATGATTACCCGTATGTATATTCGTAGATATCACCTGTTTGTCCTTCCGTTCAATAGAGACTACCGAAACATATTCCAATATTGTGAATGAGTTCACGAAGAGGTTTATTACCGATGAATCTGATAGTTTTGGATGGTATTCATATTCAGGTAAGATATATTTTTTGAGTATATATTTTGCAAAATATTTTTTCAAGTTCATTATATTTACTCTTCAATTTGATTTTAAAATAATATTATATGGTGATTATGGTGAATAAAAAATTGAAGAAACCGATTATGATAGCTATTAAAAGTTCGTTATTTATATAGCAATGATATTTTTGGAAATAGAATGCTTGTATTGTAAATGCTTAAGTGCAATGATTTCCATAGCGATAGTTTTTTCTTATAATCCATATCTATAGATTTGTTTTGTCATTTTTGAAAAGTATTTTGGTTGCTTTCATTAAATAATTAATATATATCAGTAAATATAACACCAAGTGTATAACAATTAAAGCGAACAAATATGTTTTTATAATTTTTTTTAAAACGTAAAAAAAAAAAATAACTATTTAATGATCACAGAAAAACAATGTATAATCTTTGCCTATGATACCTCAAGAATAACAGTTATAAAGTTTGTGATATTTTATTATCGCTCTTTTCGATTTAGTTGGATCGATGAATTTTGCAGAATTTTTTTTGTCGGTGAATCCCCATGGATCCGTCAATCTCATATATGCATATGCTTGCATGTAATACGTACTTATCATCAAAATCATTTATACAGTAATAAAAACTTAATCGTTAATATATGTTTACACTCATACGTATACAGACATTTATAAAGTTAAAAAATAGTAATTTTGCTTTTCACTATTTCTTGTAATATATAATTAGTAATTAGCACGTCTAAATGTCTTTGATTAGAGTAGCTCGATACGTCGTAAATTGGAATAGATTGGTCGCGCAACCAAAATTCAGCGAATTGATAAATTTTGCTAATAATCCAGTAATCCACGCGCTAAATAAAATTGCCCAGGCGCTAATTTTGCTATAATATCGATATAGTTATTATCGATTAATGCCGGCCTAACTCCGATGCATTACAACCAGTGTTGGGCAATTGGACCAATTTTGTTAAACTGGACCTATAAATTGGAATATTGGACTTATAAATTGACCAACACTGATTCCAACCTAAACTTTGGCCGATTTTCTGAATTTCTTTTTCTTTATTTAGTATTTTTATTATTTTCTTATTTGGGCATAGTCTGGGAAAATGATTATCGTGGCCTATGACTCCCGAAGGGAGTTGAGAGCTCCCGGAGAGAGTTAAAAGCTCCTGGAGGGAGTTAAGAGCTCCTGGAGGGAGTTGAAAGCTCCCGAAGGTAGTTAAAAGCTCCCAGTGAGAGTTTAAGGCTCCATGATAAATTTACAAATATATAAGGATGTGGTTTCAGTCTGCGAAGGGAATAACGGTTGTTGAACGTATTGTAATAACCCGATGTATTGATTTATGTTAATAAAGAGAAACCCTATAACCTGTAATTATGTGTGTTAGTTTATTGATTTAAACCATTTAACCTTAATCACTATTTGTTCACGATCGAAGCTAAATTGGCACCGGTCGTAAATCGCATGATCCTATCATACTGGGATTTTAACTATAAATTTTCCGCGGGCGAATTAAGATCCCATATGTAAGAAAATTAACGATGGTATTGATAAATATTATTGGCCATAATTTTACACGCAACTTCTTACATGTGCCTGGCACGTTTTGACTATCACGTTACATCTGATCTTAATTTTGATTGATTAAGAATTACAGAGGAACAATTTTTGTAAGTGCGCTACCTAAAATCCTTTAGATGACCTTTATCTGTTAGGGTTAGAGCGAGAACAATGTAGGGTTAGGGTTAGAGTTAAGATTATTGCTAATAGTAAAATTTCACAAGGAACATTTTTAATTAGGCCGCAGAAGGTGGTTTCTTAATTAAAATTTCGAGTTATTTCAGTTTATTTGTAAAAAATGGTTTCGCTGAAATTTGATTGGCCAAAAATCACGGAAGGGAAAATTTTTGTGGGTGCGCTAGGGGGTTCTTTGGTCAGTGCACTACGGTAATTCTAATTTAATATATACTTATATTATCCAATCATATTGGTTTATTTCTGTGTAACATGACTCGAAATTTGGCCACTATATTTATAACTTGTTGATTTAAGGATTCCCGCACTGTAGTAAAAAAAAAATAACCTAAAACATTAACGAAAATAAGTTCTTTTGATACAATTAAGAAAATTTTTTGAAGTTTTGTTCAGTACTTTATTCTCAAGAGAATAGATTTTACTAAGACCTACATTTTCAAGCTTGTAATTTTAAAATATATCCAATTCTGTTTCAAAATTCCTTAACTATATTCTGGGCTGCGATTTTTACTTTTGTTTAAAAAATAATTAGCACAATATTTAAAATATTTCAGGTTTATTTTTATTGATATTGATACAATACTGCAAATAAATAAAATGCTGCTGAAATTGCTAATAGATTTGTTTTAATACTAATACAATAATGTAACTCAAGTTCTCAAAAGCCATTCTAAAAGAAAATAATTAGTAGTAACCCCGATACAATATTGTAATACTGTAGGCGCTAGTTTGCAAATTAGCAAATTTTTATACACTTACAAAAACAAAAAAAAATTAATATTTATTTTGTTCTCAAATTTTCATATAGCAGTATAACTTAAAGTAAATGTGTTTATTTCAATTAAAATTTTTACATGTTCCTAAACCCTAACCTAACCCTAAAAAAAAACCCTAACAAAAGGTCTCGAAATTTTCATATTAAAATAATTAAAATTTCCAGCTTCAGTTGCGACAATAAATTTTATTAATTCATAAAATTAGTTTAAAAGAACTCTATCGAGTTCTATTGGATGTTGTTGAGAAATTTTGTTTATTATATATAAAACTACGTTTTCGACACAGTATTTTCGTTTTTTTTCTGTTTTGACGTCGGGCTAATCTGGGACAATCAAAATTTACGAATTCCGATTAGTCATTTCCTATACATCACATCTACTCAGTTGGGACAATCATTACTCGAAAAGTGCTTCCGGGATTTACATATTATACGTAATACGTAAATATCTATATGAATGCTTTTTGAATATCGAAAACACCTAAGATTTTTAATATCACTTGTATCGTCTTAATGAGACGATTCAAATAATATTAAAATAGGTGTTTTAATTACTTGGTTTATTAAAAGTAGATATTTAAAAGGCATGATTTACGCTGATCATGATATACTAATGCTAAAATTAAAACCGAAAAATTTGGTGTCTATCATCGTAATAAAGAATACTGAAAAAAGAGCTCATTACAACCACCATGGCGGCTACAATTCGAGAGATTTGGTTAGCTTTTCATATATATTAAACCTGCATGGGTCTCAAAGACACCTTGTCGACTATAATTATTCGTAATTATATGCATTAATCCTATTTCTGGACTCAACAGAATTATTTATAAATTTAAACCTTGTGAATTTACTGATTGTATGTTATTAAATCCTTTTAAAGGAGGAAATTCATACGATAAATAATGTATGACAGCTCCAAATACGTCATTATCCCATCTAAAAAAAATATTATGAAATTTCAAATTTGTGAATGACAGACAAAAA